ATGCAGGACCTTCCATTTGGCCTTGTTGAATTTCATGAGGTTTATGTGGGCCCACCTCTCCAGCCTGTCAACTCCAGCATGTCGACTCCACCACTCAGCTTGCTGTCATGGTCAAACTTGCTGAGGGTGCACCCAATCCCACTGTCCATATTGCCTACATAGATGTTAAACAGCACTGGTCCCAATACCGACCCTTGAGGAATGCCACTCGTCACTGGTCTCCACTCAGATAGAGAGTCGTTGACCACGACCCTTTGAGTGCAACCATCCAGCCAATTCCTTACCCACCAAGTGGTCCATCCGTCAAATCTGTGTCTTTCCAGTTGAGAGACAAGGATGTCGTGCAGGACGGTGCCAAATGTCCATTTAGATGACATCGGTTGCTCTTCCCTTATCCACCAATGCTGTAACCCCATTGTAGAAGACCACCAGATTTGTCAGGCACGATTTGCCCTTAGTGAAGCCATGTTGGTTGTCACCAGTCATCTCTTTATCTTCTATGTGCCTTAGCATATTTTTCCAGGAGGATCTGCTCCATGATCTTGCCAGGCACAGAGGTGAGACTGGCCTGTAGTTCCCTGGGTCTTCCTTTCTTCCCTTTTTAAAAAAATGGGGGTAATGTTTCCCCTTTTCCTGTCAGCTGGAATTTTGCCAGACTGCCACAACTTCTCAAATATGATGGATAGTGGGTTAGCAACTTCAACCACCAGTTCCCTTAGGACTCATGGATGCATCTCATCAGGTCCCATGGACTTGTGCACCTTCAGGTTTCTTAGGTGGTCTCAAACCTGATCTTCTCCTAGTATTGACAGTTCTTCATTCTGCCATTATCAGACGAAATTTCTCACTTTCACCGTCATTCTGCAAGATAGACATTAATTTATTTTTTTTTCTTCTTTTCTGCTACTATTTAAGGTAATGTTACATTCAGCATTACTGCAGAGACCAAGGATGATGAAGCTTGTGGAGTCAAAGCACCTGGGAACATAAATATTGACTACAGGGACACCCAGATCAGAACAGTGTTGGTTGAGGTACTGTTCTTACTGTTTGCCCTGTACTCCCTTCCACAAGGAAATAAAAATGCAGGAAAAGTACCAAAAGCTAGTAAAAGTTCTCCAGGTTCCCTAAAGAACTCCTTGCTTTGCTCCACCTTCATCTGGCTGATGTTCAGTCTAAGTCCACTCCTATCTGATATCCTCTTCCAAGAGGATCAGTGTGTGTTGGTAAATGCATGTCTCCCTCATGCAGAAGAGAAACTGGAAAGGATATACTCCATCTGATGGAAATATGATCAAGTATGAACCTGTAAACTGTTGCTTCAATCCAGCTGTCTTATGATGCAGGAAGATGAGGTGGGAGGTGGCTCTTCTGTCACTGCATTTCTTCTGCATTCTTTGTTCTTATCCACTGCATGTGTCTCTTCTTCCCGTCACCATGCAGCCTGAAGGCATCAGAAGGGAAAAGACCCAAAACTCCCTGATCTGTACAAAAGGTAAGGGTCTTACATACTGCTGTACTGAGAGGAAATGAAAGGAAGGTTGGAGTTTGCTCTCTTTCCTGCAGTGCTCGTTGATGCTGTCCCTCCCCTTTTCTCTAGAGATGCCCAAATGTCAGATTAGCATGTTACAGTTAAATTCCCTGCTACACAATTCGTGTGTGATCTGGTGCATGTCACTTAGGCAGTGTTGGGCTGCAGTCAACAGTGCTCAGATGCTGAAGGAAGGCTGCTATGAAGCTATCAAAGGGAGATGACCTTTTTGTGCAAAATCTGTCCTGAATTTCATGCATTCATGTTGACTGCTGTCCTCTATTCCAAGGGTAACTGTAGTTTGCAGCTTTCTGCTTCTAGTGGAAATGGGAGAGAGAATGTAACATTCCCTTCCACACCATCTCGGTGCTGACAGCAAAGTGTTTCCAAGGTTTCCTGGAAGCTCTACCTAAAAGAGGCAGAAAAAAAGCCGTGATCCACACCGACCAACTCTCCCCACTGTTTCACTGAAGAGATCCCCAAGGTTCATAGACATTACGGCCTGTGAGCACCAGCCTTACCCTGTTCAACTGATTTCTGTTAAGCCATGACAGTTAATCCACCATTTGGTCTGTTTTTCACAATTTTGGTTTTGCTGTGCCCCCTTCTCTCTTGATCTTGATGACAGCTGTGAGTTTCTACCTATTGCTGTATCTCATTCGCAATTTCTATCAGGAGCATTTCGCTTCTGTAACCAATGTTCCAATACAAATGACCACAATACATTTAATATTTTTTCTCCACAGATGATGTGGTTAGTCAAGATGTTGCCCTAGATCTGTCTACAAATGTGGTGGAAGGATCAGCCAGAGCTTCCTTTTCTGTTGTTGGTAAATATATAATTAATAAAACATAAAAAAGAAAGAAAATATAAAAATGTAAAATGAAAGCTCTTTCAGGATCCAAAATGTGAGTTTCCACTCCTTGTGTGGGAAACTTTTGAGCAAAGAGACTGATTCTCATCTTGTCCATCAATGCTTTTTGTTGTGTCAGAGAAACAAAGTTTAAATATTGGTTAAGACATTATGAAGACATTTTTCTGTTTAAATTTATTGCATTTGAACGTCTTACTCTGAAGTAGCACAGTTCTAAGTTATGACTTCAGCCAGAGTCGTACCAGTATGACCATTTTCCACTCACCCACCTGCAAATCAGAGATGCTAGTACCATCTTTTCAGTCTTTTCCTGAAAAGGACCTGGACTTGGTTACAGGACTCATTAGTCATAAAGCCTTTGCTTTGTAATAGTGGTGATTTCAGCTCATTCCAGAAATCCCTTGCTGGGTCTGTGCTATCTTTCCTAAAAATAACAATTTAAAGTTGGTCTATGACACATCTGCATAACTAATGTCCCTTTTCAGCATTAGTTGTTAGTTCTGCAACACATCACTGATTGTAGCATCTCTGGGCTGTTCCCCTTCCCTCCTCTGGAAACAGAAGTCTCCTGGAAGTTTTTCTTTTTATTTCTAATAAGAAGTATCTGCTTGAAGGGGCACTAAAATAGGTAGTGTTTCTGCTGTGGGCGATTTAGATTAAGTAAGGAGAGGCAGGGAAGGGATGTCTTTGTTGACTGCAAAGCAGAACAGAACAGATCACTCAGCACTTCATGCTTATTGGAAAGGCTTGCAATGCCAGCTAGGCTTTCCATGACTGTGCCTACAGAACAGAAATTACTGTTTAATTCATTGTCCATGAGTTGTGCTAATCCCCCCTGGCATGTCCTCTTCCCCAGGTGACATCATGGGCACTGCCATGCAGAATGTGCACCAGCTCCTCCAGATGCCATTCGGCTGCGGGGAGCAGAACATGGTCCTTTTTGCACCCAACATCTACATCCTGAACTATCTGAACAAGACAGGGCAGCTGAGTGAGGAGGTCAAATCCAAGGCCATTGGATACCTAGTGAGCGGTGAGAGCTTTGTGCTTTCCTTACAATGTATGCTGAAATCCCCATTGCGCCCAGTGAGCAGAAGCAGCAGCATGGCTATCCTAGAAGTATGGCACCACTGCTGTAGCACAGCTTAGTGACCCAAGGGTCTGCCCTGGTCAAGACAATTGTTATCTTTTCTTTATCTTTCCTTATCCTATTTTGCTGAGACTTGTTGGGGATAGTCTGAGTGAGGAAGATGAAATTGGCCTCGACAGCATCCCAGTATACCCGTGAGAAGATGAAAGAAGTGGATGAAGAATGTTGTAAACGGGTTTGAGGAAGTGACAAGAGACTGAGCAAGAAGAGACTAAACAAGTGAATACCACAGAGCAGAAATTTGGCAAGAGAACAGTAGATGAAGTGGGAAGTACAGTAGGAGCTCCAGCCAATCAGTATGTGAATAGAGGTGAATGGACAGAGCTATTGAGCAAATTATTTTAGCAGCCTTAGTGCATGAACCGATGGACAGATAAGAAAGGTTATAAAAGGGTATGCTTTTTCTGCTGCACCATCTTGGCTTTTTTGTAACTTAATAAAGGCTGCCTTCTTACATATATTTCTGTCGGTGTCGGTCCCTACCGTGACAGAGACTCAACTGCCATGTTTCCTTTAATGTCTTGTCTTTTGTTCCCTTTTCCTTTTGCACCCAGGTACAGTATGTATCCTAATCCTCTTAGGTTAGCTGGAACACAGAGCTGATACAGCTCTGTCTCTTCTGTGACTCAGTGTTTCTGCAGGACAAGATGCTCCATGCTTCCACCTAAGTTCTCTCAGGGCTCCCCTGTCTTTTGGTAGATATACACTGCCTCTCCACTCATTTCAGATAAATCTGATAGCAAATGGAAGAGGGTTTTATTTTTAAATTAGTAAGCACTTCCCTCTCCATGTTTTGCAGGCTACCAGAAGCAGCTGTCATACAAACATCCCGATGGGTCCTACAGCATCTTTGGCACCAGAGATAAAGAAGGGAACACCTGGTGAGTGACTGGGAGCAGAAATGGCTCAGTGATGAATTTGCATTGAATTCACATGATACAGATAAGAGGCATCTTTACTAGCTAAATCAGATGTACAGAGCTGGCTAGGACTGGGATTCTGTAAGTACTAAGAAAAATTTTTCTCCACCCCCCACCAGGTGGGTGCACAGAGAGAGGGGATCTCTAAAGACCCAACTGACTTTTTGATTTGCACTCCTGCTGTCTCCCATTAAACACAATGCACTGCAGTGCTCGGTAGCCAGGATGAGCCCCTGAGTGTGCTTCCTGTGTCACAACCCTTTAACTGCCCTCTCCTGCAGGAGCACACAAATAGAAAACAAGCCACCAACATGTTGGCTGAAGCTCTTCATACTTATGCATAGCATTAATGGGAGGGATGACTTTTTTCTATTCCTACTTGCAATGCTCATCTCACAGCTTCATGTTTCCCTTGCAGGCTCACTGCCTTTGTGTACAAATCATTTGCACAAGCTAGTCACTTCATCTATATTGATGACGATGTTCAGGCTCAGACCCTGATGTGGCTGGCAAGCAAACAGAAGCCAGACGGCTGTTTCCGAAGTGTTGGGACACTCTTCAACAATGCCTTGAAGGTGGTAGAGGGTTAATTCTTGGTCAAATTTACACTCTTAAGAACATGCTGTCCCATTACTGTCAAAAACTATGCTCCAAGCCAAATGCCTGTCCTCTGCCAAGGGCTAACTCTCCACTCCTTGCAATGACTATTTTCTGCTCAGTCAGCTTCCCCACACTGTACTTTACATCTTGTGAGCACCTGAGATGGGGTTACAGGACCATGAGCTTGAGGGAGTGATGTTTTTTGAGGTGGTAGCAATGGGCTTCTCTTAGTTTAAGAGCTGTTTAAGAGCTCTGTGTATGCTCTTCCTCCCTTTGGACTGAAGTGGTCACGCTCTTACAGCTGGGATATGTCAATTCATATTTAAAGACTTCTTGCTTGTGGCATTCACTGATGATTCTTCTCTCTGTGTCCTTTTCAGGGAGGAGTAGATGACGAGCTGTCGCTTTCTGCCTACATCACAATTGCCATGCTAGAAGCTGAGCACTCCAGCTCGGTAAGGAGACCTTCAGCTACTGGTATTCAAAAAAGTTGTTGATTTGGCTCCAGCATCTGCTACAAATTGTCTAGGCGGTAAAGAGAGAGAAAGAAAGGGAGAGAGAGCTCCCAGGGAACATGACTGTGCTCTATGTCTGCACTAGTTTCTGTGATAGAGAAGTTCCCCATCTCTATACCTCTTAAACCAACAGTGTGCAAATAGAAATTGTACAGACCTCAGTGGGATTAGATCTATTTGAGAGACCCAAAATATTTAGTGACAGCTTTTAGTTTCTGATAAAAAACTTGACAGATAGTAACCCACACACTATGACAGCCTCAAATATGGCTCACTCAAGAAAGTAAGTCATTGCAGGTAAATCCATAAAAATAAATGGAGCTAAAAGCTGTGTTGGTAAAACAAATGTCCATCAGAGTGAAAAACCGATCTGTCATTTTTAAAAAGTTATATTTCAATATATGAGCTTCTCTGCCTCGAATTTGTCATAACCTTTCTGAGGACCTTCCTGATTAGTGCATTAGCAAAGACACAGAGTCAAACCGTGAACATTTTTTACTTGGTGTAAACCTAGTACAACTCCACAGAGTTAAATTAAAATTACACCAGAGTCACTGAGGATAGAGACTACTAGGTTGCATTTGTTCAAGGCAACAGACTCTCGGCTATAAAAGTGAAGAGTGAATTGTTGTCGTGGACCTAAGCAGAAGGAATCAGCTATGACAAAAAGAGAACAGTCTTCTGTTTATAGACCTGCATCTTGAAGAACACACTGAAAAGCTACTTGATTTGTCTGATGTTTCCTCTGAAATGCCTTCTTAAAGAATTCTGTATTCTCTCTCCTGAAGTCACTATACAAACAGAAGCGCCATTCTTATTGCTGTGATAGTGACAGGAAGAACATGTTTAAAGAAAATAAATGTTTGGCCAGGTGAAGACTACTGTCCTGAATCAAATCCATATCCTTTTTTTTTTTGTTTTGTGTTTTTTTTTCAAAGTACCCTGTAGTCCGAAATGCCTTTTTTTGTCTGGAGACTGCGTCTGAGAAGAATATCAGTGACATTTACACTCAGGCACTCATGGCCTATGCTTTCTGCTTAGCTGGCAAGGCAGAAAAATGTGAATCATTCCTTAGAGAGTTACAGAAATCAGCAAAGGAAGTTGGTGAGTTTCAGCCATTTGGGGAGATTGGGAAGTGGGAAAAGGGACGGTACATGGTCTAACCTTGACAATATTGAGAGTACAGGCACATTAACCAACCTCCACAAATAATCTGCGGAGTTAATTTACAGCACATCTGTTGCTCTGGAGAGAGTACTTGTGAGAAAGAGGTTGGGATACAGTATGTCTGTGAGGCAGCATAGGGCAGTGACACCTGTAATCCATTTTCATTGCCTTTCACCCTCTCTTTGTTTATTCAGATGGATCACTGCACTGGGAGCAGGAGGGAAGATCTCCATCAGAAAAGTCTCCCTCCTTCCTTGACCATGCCCCATCAGCTGAAGTAGAAATCACCAGTTATGGGCTGTTGGCATTGCTCTACAAACCCAACCAGAATCAAGAGGATCTCACAAAGGCCTCAGGGATTGTGCAGTGGATCATCAGGCAGCAGAATCCCTATGGAGGTTTCTCTTCCACCCAGGTGCCAAACCTCCCTTCCACTCCTCAGCCAATCCTAGGAATTGGGGCACTGGTTCAGGGTGCCAGTGGGTCTTTGACTACCTAGTCTTATTTCTCTTTTGTATCTGCTGTCTCAAACATACAGAGAGCAAGCCTTTCTCTTGAAGATATCAAAATATTTTTTTTCCTCTTCTTCTTAACTGCAGAAAGGTTAAAACCATACAAGACTAATTTGACAAGCAACAGATACAGAAATTTGTGTCAGGGATAAGCCTAGAAAACACCAAGTCCCAGCTGTTATATGACCAAGAAGTGCTCTGTAGTTCCTTAGAAAACACATTTCATTACTATGAAAAAAACCTAGAAATGTGCTCTGGTGTGAACATTAGTGAATGTTCTGACACTTTCATATGAGTAGAGAGATTTCTTCCACCCTAAAACATATATACCAGAATGAAATGGCTCCTTATATATAGAATGTTTCTTTAGCCAGGATGAAGTGACTGTGCTTTATATTTTAACCGTGACTTTGACCTCCTCTGCACTGGTCACGCTGTGTAGCTAATTGTCTTTTATTATTTTCTTTTCCTTCAGGACACAGTCATTGCTCTTCAAGCCCTTGCTGCTTATGGTGAGGCCACCTACAATTCTGTTACACAAAATGTAGTCAAGGTTGCTTCCAAAAAGCCTTTTGAGAAGGTATTTATCGTCAACAATGCGAACAGGCTCCTGCTGCAACAGACTCTCCTTTCTGACGTCCCTGGGAAATACAGCCTAACAGTGAATGGTAGTGGATGTGTACTTATGCAAGTAAGCGTCTGCTCTTCTCTTCATTGTGTCTCACATTCTGCATACAATGCAGCCATGTTTTAGACGATTCTTTATCCGACTTCTCTTTACTTTTCCTAATTATTTTAATTTCCTTGACTATTTAAATAGTCTTTTCCTCATCCCAGGTTCTGACTCCTGTGGAGTCACAGCATGGAAAAAAAGAGTCGTTTCTGATCAGCAGTATGTTTCTCTCTGGGAGGTGACTCTGGGTACAAGCACCTTCATTGTTAAAGAGCAGCAGTCTGAGGTGTCTTTCATTGACATAAGCAAGGATCTTCCGCATAAAACCAAGAGCAACATTGCCAGGAAGCTTCACTAAGTCTGACATTTTTTTTTAGAATACAAAGAAAAACCCTTGACATGCTTGAACAAACGGGTTTTTTCCTCTTCCAGATGGTACTAAGATACAACATTCGCCTTCTAGAGCGGGCTTTTGGATTTTCACTCTCAGTACAGGCATCAAATGCTTCCTGCCCACTGGATCAACCAGCAAAATTTGATATTGTCCTCATAGGCAGGTAATGCACCATCAACAAATCAGTTGCACAGATGACAAGACATGCAGAGAAGATTGCTGTGTGTATTCAGTTCTGCTTATAAAGTCAAGAACGATGAACTGATCAACATGTTGATGATCTCAGCCTGTAAGGCACAATATCCCAAAAGACCTTGTGACAGTAACTGACAGCGGTAGCACATACTTGGCCCCTTCATACTAGGGTCCTCCCCAGTGTCTGCCCTCTCAGCCAGTCAGCAAGTGCATGTGATTCACACTAGCCTCACTGCACTGTATCAGGCCAGGAGCAGAGAGCTGGGGTTTCCTTCCCCAGACATGGTCCAGACTGACAGGGGCCTCTGTTGTTTCAGTTACACAGGCAATCGCAGCAGCTCCAACATGGTAATTATTGATGTGAAGATGCTCTCTGGCTTTGTTCCTGTTAAGCTTTCCCTGGATAAGGTAAACTATAGGAGCAAGATTAAATGAGTAACCCCAGGGACAGAGGATAAAACTGGTTATGATGAAAACAGAGGCTTGGTTAAGAATCATTCGCCCACAGACCTTGCGAGGTGTTTGCATGACTGCACCATCTTCATTACTGGGTGGAGGGATTGCCCTAGAGAGGCACAGACATTAAAAACAAGGAAGGGTTCCAGCTGGACCCTGACCATCTGGCAGCTGCAACTGTGAGCTGGCACTGTCCAGGTAGGGAATGGGTGGAAAATCTGCCAGACTAGTTCTGAAAACTATACACTAGTGACAAGCAGTATTCCCCAAATGAACTGCAGTGCCTTTCATGCACTTGGGAAATGCTCATACCCCCCACTAAGTCAAGTGGCAGGTTTTGCTCAGTCCTCTCCATCTATTCAGCAACATTTGTACACTAAAAATTAGCTGCCAGCCCTTGATACCTGGCTAGGAACAGAATGAATCCCACAGCCGTGCAGTAGTAGGGTCTGAGGTAGCACATGTTTCTTAATATATTTATCTCCATTTCCTTGTTTTAAAGCTCATTGATGGTCGTACAGTGATGCAAGTAGAAAACAAGAAAAACCATGTTCTTCTTTATCTGGAAAATGTAAGTTCTGATCCCTGTCTATTTAATTTTCACAAAGGATGCAAATAGCATGTAATGGATAAACCTACAGTGTGGATACACTCTGTGAAGTGCATTTATCATGTTCCTTTCCTCATCAGTTTTCTCCTGTAGTCACCAAGCTGCTTACTCCTCAAACTGCATGCAACATCCCAACCTCCCAAACAGCTTCAGACTGATGCCTACCCTACTACCAACTAGAAATAAGTTAATAAAAAAAACCCAACACACAGAAATTAATCAAGATTCTTTCTCCTTTCAGTCAATAGAGGATAAACACCAGAAAAGAGGTTCCCTTGTGTGTACGTCTTCTTGGTAGGCTTCTTGTAACCCTCAGTCCTTCCAACAGGAAATGAAACATTGCTCTGATCTCCTCTGGAAAGATTTCCATTCCTTCTCTTATGCTAATTCATTCCCCAATTTAACCTGTAATCTAATCCCTGGATCAAAATTTACATAGTGAAGTACATTTGCTTGGGGCCCTACAGAAGCCAACATGCCAGTGGTGCACATTGCTTCCCAGCTTCTCGGTGGCACATAATGTTCATGTCTGAAATGGAAGGGGTTGGAATACCATCCTTCATCTCTCTGACCAAGAGATCAGTCTTTTGGGACGTTTTTTTCCCTCTCTGGCAATAGGATGTGTAATAACTACGGAATCAAACGTGATAAGAAGATAGGAAACCTACAACTCTTCAGCTTCACTTTGGACTCTCCAAACATATTTCAGTTAATGGATGTCCTACATCCATATGTGTGGCATCAGTGGCATTTGGAATATCTATCAGTTACCACCCTGGTCCACTACAGATGGTGTTGTACAAATAAGGAGACTTACGTGATCCCTGTCCCTCTATTCACAGATCTCACAGAAGAAAAGGAAGGAAATCACTTTCTCAGTTGAGCAGGAATTCATAGTGACCCATCCCAAGCCAGCTCCTGTGCAGATCTATGATTACTATGAAACAGGTACATCTCTTGATTTTAACCAGTATGAAGTTTGGGAGAGGGACAGCGACAGCAGAAACACCGCATGTATTAAGTGAGACCTAGAACTAGCCCCCCTGGAAAGAACACTCCTCTTAACTCTGTCAGGATCTGGTTTTAGTGCCAGACTCATTTCACTTCAGTGAGCTTGGTCTCGTGCCCAAGGTTACAAAAATGCTGTGCCAGAACGAAGGTTTCAAGGATCTCCAGCTTAAGCATGTGTAAGGTATATCCACCTCCAGGGAAAGGCACAGGAAGTGGCCTCTAAGCTAACAGGAACATTTCTTTCTTTCTTCTCCAGAAGAGTATGCTGTTGTTCAGTACATGTCACCTTGCAAAGAGGCTGATGGAGAAATGGACTAATGACTAGAAAAGTGAAAGCCAGAAAAAAATTCCCAAGCAGGTAAGAAGGTGAAGTATAAAGCAACAAAAGCAGAGGGATTGGCAGGGTGAGTAGAGAAATAATTATTCTTGCAGAAATGGAGTCTTCAGCCTCCATCAGGCTTCTCAGGGAGCAGACAGAGAGTGGCCAGATCCTGTCCCATGACACATGCTTAGTGGACTCCAAGTGGAGACCATGTAGTTGTTCATGGGAAGAGCTCAGCCTCTAGGATGAAAGACAAAGTGGAGAATATTGGAGAGACTGGGAAGTACCTTCAGAATTTCCTGAAAAGCATCAACACTTAGCAAGGAAATATCTACCTACAGCCATCCTGGAAAGCCTCTCCTCTGAAGCCTATGCTTCACAGGCACAAGCAAGGTGCTTCACATAGACTTACAGAAACCCTTTCCTGGACAGTTAATGCATTATGTGAGGAGAACATCTGAGGTGACATAAATCACGGAGGCAATGTGTTCATTAGTCAGAGGTACGATGCTGTCTTGATGTAGGGGAGGTCCAGGTCTGTATCCTGCTCAGCACGGCAGTTATGCTGACTGTTATCTGATGAACAGTTCCCGATGGATATGGGCACAGCTTACTGCCAGACCTTGATCCAGCTTTTGTCTGTTTTGCACAAAAGGGGATGACTATCCTATATCCTGAAACCATATTTTATATCCTGCAGCTGTTGGTTTGTTCTTATTGAGGTTATTTTCTTTTGGAATTTCCCCTGCAGGACCATCACAAATGTTGAACAAGTGATCAAGCACCCTATTTTCTTCTGTCGTTAAGCCCTGGAAAGGGCCATTTCATGTTACTAATCACAGTGGGAGTCTGTGACATCATCTGAGCTAGTGTCTGATTCTCTGTTTCCTTTCACAGCATGTCTCTCCAGATCTATATCATAATCATGTATACCTTTCCATCAATAAACCTCCCTTTTACATTGGGCATTGGGGTTTTTTCAGTGTCACAGAACAGGCATTTTAGTGACAGTCCACATGTTATGGTCACCGGTGGGGGGAGGATGAAGAGAGAAATATATTTGTTCTGCCTGCAGCCTCTGCCCCTGTGGCATAGAAGTAGGGATGGACATCATGGAGTGCCTCTGCATCTTGCTTCGTAGGTAGAGGGTGAAGAAAGAGGCAGGTTTCTGTTCAGGCCTGGTGAGTGCCTAATCCCACATCCTGGGGGTGGTGGGATCCTCATAGGCAGTGGGATCCAGGCCCACGCTGGCTTATTTGCAGTGTACCAGGGGCTGACGATCTCCCATGCAGGAGTGGGGAGAAAAGGATGGATCTGTCATGGAGTGAGGGGAGAAAAGGACCTGCCATGCAAGGGCTTGAACAAGAATTTAAGTAAAGATGAAAACTGTTCAAATGCTGAGGACTAGTACGTGTTTTGAAGGGATCCATTTCATCAGGCAATTTGCTGAACTTGTGCATGGACTTACATTGGTTTTCAACAACAATTAATCATCATATCAACACAGAATACCCCTATTCCCAAATCATTTTTGTTTGAAAAAGCTACTAAATAATTTGAGTCACTGGGATTTGTGCTTCTGATTTACTCAGGCCTGGCTCCTCAACAAACCAGCTGCCTGAGTCTTCACAGGCAACAGGGTACCTAAATACTCACAGAATCTGTCAGCCCTGTGTGAGTTTTAGAATTGCACAGGGCTGGCCAGCCAGGATATGCACGAAACTGATGTTATAAAAATGAATTTCATAAAGTTTCACAGACAAGGAATTTGTGGGTCATGAAATTGCTTTGGAGTTCAGATTTCCCTGCTAATTTCCAAAATTAAAACTTCACTGGCAGTTAGGAGGGACACAAGAAAGGCTGTGAACTTTCTTTTCCTGACACACCCCAAACTGTAGCAACCAACAGGATTTATATGAGCATCAGACTGGACTAAAGCAAGAGAAATCAATAGTTACAGACAGCAACAAGGTTGAAATTGAGAGCAGGCTGAGTGGATGTGGATACAGGATGTGCATCTTTCTGGGGGATTTAAGGCCAATTAAGCCAAGGCTTCAGCATCCCACATGGAACTCATAAAAATCCCCCTCAGGTCTGGCCAAATGTTATTCTGTTCAGCCAAACACCATTTTCTGGGAAGAAACAACATCCTTGGGAAAAAAAAAAAAAAAAAAAAGCTACATTTTTATCATTCTTTTGGAGTCTTCTTTTCCTTTTAGGCCAAATCTGAACTACTAAAACATCAAGAGCATATTTTCCACTGCAAACTCTTCCTCTGCATGCTGAAAATGTAATGTTTATTACCTGCACCTGGGTTGGGGCAATCCCAAGCACAAATACAGGCTGGGTGATGAGTGGATCGAGAGCAGCCCTGTGAAAAAGAACTTGGGGATGCTGGTGGATGAAAAACTGACTATGAGCCAGCAGTGTGTGCTCACAGCCCAGAAACCAATGGCATCCTGGGCTACATCAAAAGAAGTGTGGCCAGCAGGTCGATAGATGGAGGTGATTCTTCCCCTCTGCTCTGTTCTGGTGAGACCCCACATGGAGCATCATGTTCAGCTCCGGGGCCTCTAACATAAGAAAGACATGGACCTGCTTGAGTGAGTCCAGAGGATAGCCACAAAGACCATCAGGGGGCTGGGGCACATCCCCTGTGAAGACAGACTGAGAGAGTTGGGGTTGTTCAGCCTGGAGAAGAGAAGGCTCTAGTGGTCTAGAGACCTTCTAGTGGTCTTCCAGTACTTAAAGAGGGCCTACAGGAAAGATGTGGAGGGACTCTTTATCAGAAAGTGTAGTGATGGGATGAGGTGTAATGGTTTTAAACTGAAAGAGGGTAGATTTAGATTAGATATTAGGAAGAAATTCTTTCCTGTGAGGGTGGTGAGACACAGGAACGGGTTGCCCAGAGAAGCTGTGGCTGGCCCCCCCCCGGGGGGGGTCCACGCCATGAATGTGGCTTTGAGGAACCTGGTCTAGTGCAAGGTGTCCCTGCCCGTGGCAGGGGGGTTGGAACTAAGTGGTCTTTAAGGTCCCTTCCAACCCGAACCATTCTATGATTCTATAATTTTATCCTGTGACTCAGTTGCAGTCAGATCTAATAAACATCACATGCTCATACTCTTCCTCCAGATTTTTAAATGTAGACCATGTTGTCCCTGGCCCCTGCTCCCACAGGGAACAGCAATATTCCTTAAAACACATTCCAAAACCTCCCAGATTTCTGGAATCTTGGTTTCTTTTTTCAGCTATATGTTTTGTGTCACCACCTGAAACTGAAGCAAGAATATTAATTGTTGACTAAGCAAAACAGAGACTCCTGCTAGACTGAATGTCATTTCTTCTTCTGTAATGTGATAATCCTGAGGCATCGCATCATTCAATCCCAGAGACTTGAGGAGTGTTTTAGGCCTCAGAAGGTCAGAACTACTTTAATTTTGGCAAGATATGCAGGCTAAGCAAACCCTGTTTCCCCAAGTGGGAGAAAATCAGGCTCACAGGCCCAAGAGGTCCTCTGAGCTACCATACTGCTGCCTCCTTGAAGACCCACACTTTGGTTTACTGTGCTCAGTATTGCACATCTCAGTATAAAAAGGAGACAAGTGTAACTATCCACTGAAACTGTTGTGCACATCCTTTGAGTCAGCAATGCTATGAGAAACAGGAAATTCAAAACTTCACTATGGTTGTCTGCCAGTGCCCTTGTGCCTGCTCTGCAGCTTCTGGATCTCCTATGGGTCTGTGCATGGCTCTGTTAGAAGCACATTAAAACCTGAAATGCAGGTTCTTACAAATAAAAAAGGGGATAACAAAGAGTATGATCACATAAGAATATCTTTGACTAAAATGCTCTGTTGAGCTTACTTCCCTTTGTGACAAATGCTTCTTTGTAGAGTTTATTTGTGCCATGGGAATTGCTTTGCTGCTCATGTGGAGTTCACACTGAAGGATCTGCTAAAGGCTTTGGGCATGGCCTAGCAAAGAAGACTTATAATGACCACACTTGTTCTGGAAACTGTACATAAGCTTTTTTTACTGTAGATGATGAGTCTCATCCACAACGTGGGCAGTAGGATGCAAAATCTAGACACAAGCACAAAAAAAAAGAATCTCGCCAGAAAGATGAAGTCCAGTGTAGCAGCATTCTCTTGCTTAGGCCTCTCAGTTTCTTACCGAGCACTCTTATTAGACAAAGGAGTCCTTGGTCCAGGGAATTTGGTTGTTCCATCTTTTGGCTCAAACCCTCTATGATCCCTGCAGTGTCAAAAGTAATAGTGCCAGGCTCTTAAACAATGGCACAGCAAGACCTCAGCTGTATGACTTCTTTTATTTTCCAGATCTTGTTACCTACTTGTCGATGTTCAGGTCTTCTCCTCACCACCCTCCCTCTGTTGAATATGAAGTGTGAGTGATGACCAACCAATTCACTGACCAGAGAAGACAAGAAATGTGCAAGAGAGATCTTGAATCAAGAAATGATGAAGTGTCAAAACGCTCTGAGGAGACAACTTAGCGTTGCTCTCTGATCGTTTCTTTGTTGAGTTTATTTGCAACATACCTAGTGGTCAATTAGGGAGGTAGGGCCCTGTCTGCAGTCAAGTAACCCCCACCATGTGATTCATCAGATGACATAGAAGCATGGGCACACCTCTGGCACCACTGGTTGTGAAATGTGTAGCATCAGAGAAAGGCTTCCTGAGCAACATCCCTCGTGTACATTTTAATTTTTTATTCAGAGTAACAATGAAAAGTTTTCTCAAAAATTTTTCAAGTGGAGAAGCAACATGGGGTCAGCTAGTCTTGTAGCTCAATAGCAAGAGAAAGTTTCTTTCTGCTCAACCTCCTAGATGGTCACCTTTTGAGGGTCAAGAAAATACTAAAAGCAAGGCATTACATGACCTACAAGCCTCCTTCAAGGAACCTTTTTCTCCCCCTTTCTGATCCTCTTGCAAGCTCAGCACACTGATGTCCTGATGCTTTTTGATCCTGCCTGGTG